ACGATAAGTATAACTGGCTCACGGGAAGCGAAAAGCGAAACAAACTTTACTGCTGGAGTTGTCTTTTATTTTCTGAGACTAAGCAAAGTCCTTGGACTAGTGGCTACTAAAACACTTATCCGAATCGTTGCAAAAACATGGAAACTCAGAACAACATACTCATGCCTCTTTAAAATTTAAATTGTTTGGAAAAAATAATATTCAAGATTCAATAGATTCAGCCCATGTTCAAAGTATTTTAAAGCATAATGAACTGGTTAAAGAAAATAGAGAAATAATAACGAGGCTGATTGATATGATCATTTATTTAGCAACCCAAGAACAAGCATTCCGCGGTCACAATGAATCATGAGATTCTTTAAATCAGGGAAATTTTAGGGAATTAGCGTCACTGCTTTCCAAATATGATAATAAATTTAAGGTATTTTTGGATGAATCTTCGGTATTCACTGGGCTTTCAAAAACTATTCAAAACGAGTTAATTGAAAGTATTAATAAAGTAATTAGTGAGATTATAGAGAACGAAATTAAAATGAGCCCCTTTTTTTCGTGGCAAGTTGATGAGACCACTGATATTAATTGCCGATCTCAAGTATCTGTAATTTTTCGTTATGTAAAAGAGGGTAAAGCTGTTGAACGCTTTATGGGATTTTTTGACGCTAGTGAAGGTAGAACCGCTGCCGATTTATTTAGTTTGTTAATAGAAAATTTTAGTAAATACGATATCACTAATAAGCTGATCGGTCAAACTTATGATGGTGCTTCCGTAATGTCTGGTGAATTGAATGGGTTACAATCAAGGGTTAAGCAGATAGCTCCTCAAGCTCTGTTCACGCACTGTTACGCTCATAGGTTAAATCTCATATTACAAGACGCATCAACATCTATTAAAGAATGTCGAATTTTTTTTGCAAACATAAAAGGATTTCCCACATATTTTTCTAAATCAACAAAAAGGACTAATATTTTAGATCAAATGTGTACTAGGAGAATACCTAGCGGATCCGACACCAGATGGAACTTTAAATCACGTTTGATAAATGTTATAATTGAAGAAAGGGATAAACTTGTACTTGTTTTTGACAAAATTATTGATTCCGAAGATTTTGTAAGAGACGGCGATGCGATTAGAGAGGCGATAGGCTTTAAAAAAATCCTGAAAAATTTTAATTTTTTAATATTGCTTCATATTTTCAGTCTCATATTTGAACAAACAGAATTCATTTTCGATATAATTCAGTCCAAATCGACAGACATATCATACTGTAAGAAAAGAATAGAAAATTTGCAGCAAACATTAAACAATTTCAGATCAAACGACAATTATTTTAATAAAATATATAATACAGTTTCCAATATTACTGAGCCACCAAATTTATCTAAGAAACGTAAGTCCAACTATGATGGAATTGATGATCCTAAAACGTATTTCAAACGCGTATTTAATGAAATTCTTGACATAATAACTACTCAAATAGAAGTTAGATTTAGAGATATGGCAACTTTAGATTTTCTAAATTTATTGAATAAACACAAATTTATGTCATACAGACAAACGTTTCCCCAAAATTTAGTTAATTCCTTACTTAAGAATTATAAAAATATGTTCACCCAAGCTAAGTTGCAAAGTCAGTTGCGCGTGTGGTATTCAGATATAGACCTACTTGGAGATTCTTCAAATTATGCCGACATTTTAAATTTCATTTTTATTAATGATCTGCAAAATGAGATTTCAGAAATATATAAATTGCTTTGTATCGCTTTATGTTTACCCTCGACTTCAGCTTCAGTGGAAAGAAGCTTTTCAACTTTAAAAAGAATAAAAACTTTCACTAGAAATTCAATGACTCAGACGAGATTATCTAGTTTATCAAAGATTGCCATCGAAAGGGGTTTGATCAAAAAACAAGTCCAAACAACACAATTTTATGACAGAGTAATAGACCATTTTGCCTTACAAAAAAATAGACGCATTGACTTATTTTATAAAAATGTGCCAAATACCAGTTCATAATTTTTTTTATCTCAAGAGTTTCAAAAAGCATCACTCTAGAATATTTTTTATTTTGTTATACTGTTAATTATTATTTAGAGTTTATTTTTTGTTTTTTACGATTTTCTATTTAAGAATTTTTTTATGTTTTGAGAATTTTTTATTTTTATTTTTATTATTTGTTATATTGGTTTTATTATTTTTTATGTAGAGTTTATTTTTAGTTTTTTTTACATATTTACTAACCTTCAATGCCCCACACTAACAATGACCTTTCATTTTTTCCTTCCCCGGCAAGATATCGCTCCGAACCTTCACGTGGTTCTTGCCGAACGGTGTATTTTTCAAATTTTGGAATTATGCCGGCTAAAACGGAGCTCAAACCAAAAAACGTACAGAATAACTACGCTGTAAGAACCTCGTGATACATAAAATACTTTTGATTAGGTACCTACCGCTTCACCACCTTGCCCAACCTACCAAAAATCTCACGAGCCGCCACTGATCAGTTCAACATCAAGAAGTTTACAACATCAACTTGTACTTTACTAATTTTACACGCATTTCTATCAAAAGAACTTAAAAGAAACAATTTTACAGAATATTTAAAGAAAACAAATTGTTTAGAATATTATTTATTAGATATCTTCTGTCTTTATATAAATATTTGTGACATGCTAAGTTGCAGCTCCATCTCAGCAGTTCATAATGCTATCAAAGGATTTCAACACCAGTTTATTTTTTTCTGAAACAGTCCGACTACATAACTACAGTTTTTTATAAAGTAGGCAATGACCATAACTGATAAAGTCAAATTAGAATTTTATTCCTACATACTTAAAATAAAAATATATAGGTATAATTCTAGGGTTGTTATATTGGAAAGAATGATACCCTTTCAAGTGTGCATGCGTTTGGTCATTAGTTGGTATCTGTATCGTATATAGGCTCTCTGTATATATTTCCGCAGAATTCGTTTCCGCCTCTAAAATGCTAACTTAGTGCTGACACCCTTTAAATACGTAAATATAGTGTGTCCGACGAAGACAAAAACAGGAACATACGAGATGTCGTAACTGGTACAGTTTTACAACACCTTGCCAAAATTAAAAGAATTCACCTGTACATATACATATATTTCCTGAAAAGTGTATGTATGTTTGCATCAAAAGTTCTTCAGACTCGCACCATCACAAGAATCGTTCTGTATTGAATACAATTAACGTAATAATTCAGTTTTCAACTATAAACTTAATTTTAAAAACAAAAAAACGTTCTACGGTTTGACTACTGTAAAACGGTAATTAAAGTGTAAAGACAAGGAAACTCTGAGAACCCTTTTACGTATAAGAGAAAGAAACGTTAACAAATTAGACTTGATGTTAAACAAAAACTTTTATGCTGGAGAAGGTAAATAACACAAAGTCAATGAATTCGATTTTTTAGTAGCAAATCAGTGCATCACATGTTAAAGTTTAAAATTTTACATTTAAATAATGAATAATAACGACAATAAAATTAGTGTCCTGTGTCCTTTTCTACATACAGTAAGAGATCGACTTGAAAGCAAAAATAGTCAAATATCCCTAAATATTACGTATTTAAAATTAAATGACAAAATAGAATCACGTGAAGACGGCAAGAACCAAAGAATAGCACAAGGAGAATGAAAAAGTGAAGAAAAAGCTAAGGAAAAATGCTAAATGATAAATATTGGAAATACCCAAAATTCACAAAAATGGAAAAATTATTTATAATCTTGTAGTGTAATAACTATTACCGTAATAAAACACAATGTTTAAAATTAGAAAGAAATAATTTTTCCTATGTCTATAGTCTTACTAATTTATTAATTAGAATGTAACTAGGTAAACGGATTTTGTAAACTGAGTGTTATCCTGTTGGATTTAAAATATTGTTAAAATTCATTGATTCATCTTAATTAAGTAATTTTAAAAACATAGGTACTCAAGGCAAACGTACCCACTGTACATAATTGATACTTGCATCCTAATGTCTCACAGTAGTATTAATGGTGGCCTATCTATTTCAAAAAAATACTACACAAGTTTCATGGGTTGCATAATCTGCATATCCCATAATAATGACTGTTTTTTTCCCACATAAATTTTACCAAATTATTTACCGTCAAAATGTGGTTGTACTAAAATGATATAATCTTTCCGGAAATGTGACGCTTCTGAAAAAAAATGTTCAGGGACGATAAAATATCACTATGTGTATACTCATCCAATTTTAAAAAATTGAATTAAATCTTGCACCGGAAAATCTTAGTCACTCATGTAATCATAACTTCTGAGTATGAGAGAATGAACCACATTATAAATTATGCAGTCAATTTCTCTAATCTACTTTAAGTGGTGAAAACGCTCAAAATTCTGGAATATGTAATTTAGTTATAATATAATTATCCATATTTGAAAAAATATAAGATCAGACCGATGTTCGAATAATTGATTTAGTAAGACTTTTATAAACTGGGCACTGAATTTAACAGGTAACTTAAGAAAAAAAATTAAAGTATCTTTTGCCTGTAATTAAATTAGCTCTTACAAACGGACGTCCAAATTTGGTATTACTCAAACATTATAAGGTACGTAATTGATATTTATATTATTTTATAAAATATCACGCTGTAACGAAACCAGTTCAAATGTCAAGCGCCACATTACTGATAACATTTTGCCCCATATTTGCCCCTGCTTTGTCACGGAAAAATCGTGCGCTCGACGGTAATCGATTTACAGTTCATTCAAACTTCGCGCCTCTCAATTCATGTAATCCGGTGTTTCCTTCACAAACTTAAAACAATATTCTTTGAAATTTACAAACTTGGAATAATACAAAATAAATCATTGCATTGTTTTTAATGTACAAACAGTTATTAACTTTTGAAAATAATTAAAGTTCTGTTAAAGAAAGACTGCTTTTGATCAACTTCGTACTTCAGAATATTCCCGACGCATAGCGACACCGCCCGATTGTCAATAAAACCAAAGAAAACGCAAATAAGTCAGCTGTATTGACTCTCAAGTGACGTGCGAGTTTGAACAACAAATTATCATCTTGAACAAAATTGTTGTGATATTATATCTTCAGTAAAATGAAGATACTTATTCTGGTAGCACTTGTGGCACTTTTCGGTAAGTTTCATTCTTTACTATCATCGATCAGATCGGCTTTGTTATTGTTTATATTTTTGACATTTCTCGCTAATTACTCCAATGCGTTTTTTGTTTTGTGATTATTTTGCAATCTTCTTAAGTATTTATCAAATCGGTCTTCAAAACCAATCAATCGATGACCTTGAAACTGCATTAAACTATCTAATGATGTATTTGTCTTGACAATGACTCATGCACTCATGCTTCCATGTCAAACATGTGTTTGAAAATTCGTTAACCAGGGTGATTCCCTCAATTTCCTGTTTTTAACTGATAATTTAATGTGTATGAGGTACAGTGTCGTGATAAACAAAGTCTTTGTGTTGAATTATTCGCAACGTGAACTTTGGCAGCCATACAATATTTATTTACGTTTCTGTAATCTAAAATTAGATTGGAATGTTTACGCCTTGTAGGACCTTTTAGTTGTTATCGTTATAAAATATTTTTTAAGAGAAAACAGTGACGAGTCACAGTCAGGCATGGCTGAGTCACAAATTGAGCTTTGATACAAGCACGAAGGAATCGTTTATGCGATGGATTGAAAAATTCACTTTCGCCTGGAAAGAATAAGGAGGGGAAAATAAGCATAAAGATGAGGTTGAAATGGTTCGTTAAGCGAAAGAAGTAAAACGAATTTAAGAGTAATCCATACCACCTTTCAAGAAAACAATATCTACAGGTTCTGCTTGTTATCGACTTCAGACTTTTGCTTTACTTGTAAAAATATAAGGTTCTGTTTAAAAAATGTTACCATGTTCAAGTTGTTTGGAATTTAATTAGACAATTTGCATAATTTTATTTAAGACTATACAAGATCATAGACCAGGCAGCCATGAAACAGTTAAACCAGTTTTTATTGTTTACTATCTTTGAACTCCAGAATTCCATTCAGATGTGCGTTTTTTCGAATTTACCATATACACTTTTTTTTTTAATTCTAACAAAATTTCATTAAGCCAGGGTTTGACAAAATTAACTTTCGAACAGAAAGTATTCAGCTCTGAAATTTTAAAAGAGTTCAGTTTTTATGGCAATAAATGAGTAATCAGCGATAAAATTGTTTCTAGCTTGATACTACATGTTTAGATACAGTATTTTTTTGTATGAATTTACGTAGTCTACAAACAAGATATGTAAGTAGGTTTTATCTCGCATGACCACATTTACTTTCAAAATACAAACATCACTACATTAAGCCAATATTTACTAATTTAATATTTGGTTGATAATTTTCCTTAAAACTTTTTTTTTTTTCTACTTCAATATGAACTGAATGCTGAAATTTATGTTCCCTTTTCCATTTGTTTTTCAAAGTGATCCGAGATCTATTTTTAAGTGATCTAAGAGCCAATTTGTAGAATATTGTATTGAGATTAAGTTAATCACGCATTTAATGAGGCGTTTAGCGACATCTGATTGGCGTAGAGTCGGTCACGTGGTACTTTAATGCCGCATTAAAAATTAATGGCAATCAAATATTTAATTGAGCTTTCGTAAATCTGCCCTAAATGTGGCTAACACAACATTATGTATGATGGCATAATTCTTGCTGCAGGTTTATCAGGCTGAGGGTAAATCAAATAGAGTACGTTTGCATGCTATAATTCCGCAGTCAATAACTTTGTAAGCAAATATAATCTAATCTGAATTATAATATAAACCTTGCCTTCAGCTTAGCGAAACGTGTAGGTTTCAGTACACTAGTGGTTGATATAGATACAAAATGCTGTGAATCCGGCGTATATTATTTATTATTTTCCAGACTTGCTTGTCATACCTGCATCTGTATAAACGGTACTTCAGTTGAAATAGCTGATTGCATTTTAGAATTGTTTATCTTGATTATCATACAATAATATTTTTCTTTATTATTAATCTTTATACGATAATGTTAGATTTTTGCTTATCAATAAGAACACCACTTGAACTGTATTCATGACTCATGAGGTAGTACCGAAGAGAAACTTTCAAAATTGGAACTGGAGTATGTTTATGCAATTGTGGTTATACTTCTTGAGCGTGCAAGACACTGGACCATAAAAGGTTCTTGCAAGGTTTCTTACAGGGTCATTAGGTGTAGAGGATGTCTGCCTTTCAGTTTCTTCCAGTTGAGTTGTAGATCACAGAATTGTTCATAACTTTCTTAGTTTTATACTGTTTGCCTCACTAAAAACCGATTCGTCTTCTTTACGTATTAAACATATATCGAGTAGTTTACTTTGATATTCGCATCGATTTATCGGAAAAAATATTTACAGACATGACTGTGACACACCTAAATAATTTGAAAATATAAATTTACTCTGATACGGAGGATAATTTGAACTATCCAACTTCAAAAATATACTTGATCCCTAATAATTGCAGTGAGTAATCGAAAATATTGACAACGTTTGTGTCTATTCAAACGATGAAACACGTTCCGAATTATTTAATTAATTTAATGACAAAATATAAGCCCCGCCCACCCGCCCTATCTCAATTGTGATGATATTTTTATTATTTCTCTAGAAGAAACCGTGTTATTTGGAGAATACAATGTATATTAAGAAAAAATTAAATCCAAAGATAAACCCCACCCATACCTGCCTTGATCTAAATAATGAAGTTTTCATTCCATATTCCGTTACAAAAATTTACCATGTTAGACGCCTTTTAAGTTTCTAAGAATGAAAAAATCATCATAATTGAGAACGGGTGGGTGAACGGGGTTTATATTTTGCCTTTTTTTCTTAATATACATAGTATTTTTTGAACAACGCGATACTCAAAGACGTGCTTTTAATTACTTGTAAAGAAATAAGTATTTTGCAGTTAAGCTCAAGTTAAGCTTGATCCACGGCGAATAAAAAAATCATCACAATTGAGATAGGGCTGGTGGACGGGCTTACATTTTGCCTTTTTGTTTTAATATGTGTAGACTTCTTTTCACAACATCAAACTTAAAATATGCCTAAAATGGTAAATTTTAATTTTGTCATTTTCTTCTTCATTGTTTTCATATTAATAATTTATTGCACATTACTTCTTTTCCATATATCTGAGTTATCTGACATGTCGCAGTAAATTCGGGCACACTGTGTACTGTAACTCAACACCTGGTTGCAATAGAAAGTTGAACAGAACCATAAAGAAATGGTCTAAGTTTATTTAGACAAACTGTGTTACAATACGTCCTTAGCTTACGCACGGGAAGTTAAAATTATAAATTTGCCATACAGTACAATATACCTACGATTTTAATAAAAAGAAAGAAATATTACAAATTACCAGCAAAAAAGTGCATTTTTATGTAACTCGCCAGGTGAAATCTACATATCTATATTTATTTTGATAAAAAAGCCAACATTTTGAAAGTTTATTTTAGACAGTACAAAATTCGGTTACTTTGAAGTTCTGTACACACAGTTATTGCGAACATCATAAATCACTGATTAGAATTCATGTAGAATTACAAATAGGCAATGTTTGTTTTTTATGCATAATGTAGTATCTAAATCTATAAGTCCATTTAATTTTTTTTTTCCTGTGAGCATGTCTCAATTTTTGGAGGAATTTAATAATATACAATAATACAGTTTTTATTCAATATTTATGCATTTACGAATATTTCCCAAGTGTAATCTAGGGAAGTGTTGTAATAGGTTCCATTTGACAAATGTGAAATCGATTTACAGTTATGATGTGAACAGCAAGATATTAATTAAAAAAAATGTGCAAAATAATACGCTTTCTACCTGTCGTCGGTTCTTTTCTTCTTCTCCACCAAAAAATCGATAACAACTTTTCTAAGAATTATTAAATAGTTCAAAAAAGTGAAGTTTTACAGGAAGTTAAGTTTTTTTTACAGAGAATTAAAAGTAATAAATGTTAAACAGACATATTTGTGTTTCTATCTAAATAACTTTAATATATTTTTTTAATTATTTATAGTGTTATTGAGTTTTCTAGTAGGAATTTTCAAGTGAACTTTGAAACCGCCGCAAAATGCGGAACCACATGCGCGACGGGCTTAAGCCACGCCTACTTTGACTCAAAGTTGGTTACTTTTCTAATACTACAACCGTTGATTTTCCCCTAGATCTCAGCTGATTAAAACGGTCAGTTTATGTAACATAACATAATTTATTTGAAGGAAGAATGAACAAAAAAACGAGCAAAACTCAGTCGAAAGGCTAAAACGCAATTGTTGCAAACGTAATCTGCGGACAACAAAGTCTGCTGCTGTTAAATAAAAAAGATTAATGACAAGCAGGCGTACCAGTTCTACCACACTAATGCCCCACAGCACCAAAGGTCCATTTTTCGTTCATATTATTTTAATTGTCGAAACCAGTATATTTATACAATAAATTGTTTCATTTATGTTTATCTTCATATATATTTCACTGGTTGTTATCTTTTATATTTAGTAATGTCATTGACTTTTAAATTTATAATATATCTTGTTTTTTTTAACTTTCTCAGTTTTCTCTTCTTTTTTTTAAATACTTCTACAAGATATGACTATAAAAGCAACTGAACTAAAAACGAGTTCCGAGTCGCTAGTTAATGAAATATTCTTGTACCCTTTATATTTGTTACATTTTGAATGCCAATAAAAATAACCAATTATCTCGTGTTTATTTATTTATTTTTTTTTCTATAATTACATGCGAAAATAGCAAAACAATTACATTATTTAAAAATATATATAAGGCTCTTCCAGATACCTTTAAAAAATACATGTTCTATTAACAACAATAAAAATAGTTATAATATAGTTAATTATCATTCTTTGCATCAAAGTAATAGTAGTTATTCAAGCCATAATGTATTGACGGTTCTAGACTGAATCACTATTTCCATTTAACCTGAAAGGAAGAAAAAATACCACAGTACCTTGATAAAAAATTGTTCTCTGTATCTTTGATTAAACGAGTTCAAAACAATTTTCTCTAAAAGCATTCAAAATATACAAACGATTTTTTCTATGTAACATTGCATATGTGTAGTTAATGTCATTATTAATAATCAGTAGGCGGAAATTTATCTTACGGATGCAATTCCCCAGTTGAAGCAAGGTGTGTTTTACGGCGAGTAGCGGGGACGCTTTGATCTGGTCCACAAGGTCGTAGCCAGTGCGTCGCTAGGAGTGGTTACAGCTTGTTAAAAAACTACTTCTATATTACTATATTACTTCAAAAAACAATACTCGATGCCCTTTTTAATTTTTCAAACACAGGACCACAGATTTGTGATCTTGAAATGTTATATTATGTTGATATAGTCCAAAAGAAAAATATATTTGTAATCAAACTATCGTCGCAACAGCACTGGATCTAGCGTATGAAACACAATTCCGCCCGTTGTTAATAATGCTAATGAGTAATGACAAAATATCTTGAAAGATATAACACCTGACGATTAAAAATAAGTTCTAAATTATTTTTTTACACGCTTAAAAAATAATTTCAATAAAAATTCAATTTACACGATGTTTAAAATTAAGGCCAACGACACATCTTGTCCTTCATGCAAGGCCAACTGTTTCACAGTAATAGCTTCTTGGTACAAGAAGAGTTATTTTTTAAATGTCAGTTGTAATGCAGTTCTGTGCGTATCCTAGCTGAGATTTTTCTACAGAGTATCACGTTATGTCTATCCTTTATTTCATTAACACTCGTTCAGAATCTATACCAACTCAAGTTTTTATTGAAAAAATTATTTTGATCACTTTCGACTAAGATGTCGAGTACAACTGTAACATTACTGTGTCAATTTTTTCAATTTATTTTGGTTAAATGGAGGTCTAAACATGACTAAAATATCTACGTAATTATAATTACGTATAAGGGTATTTCAAACATTGTCGTTTAATCCAGTTTCTAGAGGACGAATAATAAAATTACCCAGTTAACAAAAATGAATGTTTTGCTAGTACCTTCATTATGTCAACTTAGCTACTACCAACACTTAAAGTACAAAAAGTGAGAAGTCATGTGAGCTATTGTCATTAGTTATGTTGGCGATCCTTTGAGAGTGCGAGTGGGTTTGATTTTAATGTTTCAGTCTACTGCGGGTGGTGCTCAAATAATCAACAATTGACAAACGCCAGTAAAAATTAGATTTTTTTCTTTGAAAGGTAATCTCATTCCGAAGTCATCCACTTTACGATCATATTTTTCTGGATTTGTGAGATGCAACACTGTTAAACAATCGCCCCTACAAATGCTGCATTTGTTGTTCGTCTCTGTACATTTTTCGTGCTTTTATCGATATTTTAGTATTAAAAAAAAAAAACAAATTAGTAATTTAACGTTAAATATTAAATTTTGTATTTTCGAATCCTGCGTTTTAGCTTAAACAGTAGCACTAAGTTTCATGTGTAGTGACAAAATCCATGACATTTAGTCACTGTATAACCAACTTTGTGGCCTCTTCGCCTTCAAAAAACAAGTATCAGGTTTATAAATACTAAAGAATTGTATAATATTCGTGTAAGCTGACATTAATTATTCTTGTATGTTATTTATTCTTTTCAGAATAATTGAGATCTTTAAAATTGGAGAAAATAACAAGTTAGGTTTACTCGGAATAGTGTGTCGAAAATATTTCATAAATTTTCCGTCTGCATAAACTTTTCTGGATGTAACTGAATCTGTATCTATTTGTGTAATCTTAATAGTGCGAAATAAAAATTCCACAAGCCTGTTATTGAAAAATATCATCATTTCTACTAGCAACAATTTTAATCACCTACTTTCATTTACAGCTGCCACAAGTGGAGTCTTTGTTCCACCTCGCCCAGGACACAAACGGCTATTAGACTCAAAAGAATGCACTTGGGGACCTTCATACTGGTGTCAAAACATAACGTAAGTAGCTTATAAATTCATAAAAGAAGATACCTGAATGTAATTCTGGGAAAATCCTTGTAACTTGGTGTTGTTATCTGCACATCTACTTCGTGGATATTTATGGAAATCAATTAATTCCTAAGGCTATCATGAGTAAACACTTCACATTTACTCTTCTAATTGTTTGTTTAAGCTTTAGCGAACTGCAGTTACATAACCCTGCAAATACAATTTTAAATAAAACTAAGTTTCATAATGAATCGCTATTAAAAATGCACAGCATAATGTTTCCTGTGCTGCGGTTTACAAAAAGTACACAACATTTTCATGAACCAGTGTGTAACGTGACGTGAATTCACGCTTCAAGCTTACGCGTTAGATACAGTACTTACACGACTACGTTTTTGATATATGTTATTTAGTCGTTATACTTAACAAAAGAGTTCAACAATAATAAAAGACCTTATTGAATTAAATTGTAACCCATCCTTGTACTTTCCATATCTTTCTAATAAATTTTTATAGGACGGCGGCTGGTTGCCATGCCGTGAAACACTGTATTCAAACAGTGTGGCTTTACCGGCAATTGCCACCAGACACTTCCAGTATTTGTCAAACGTGTCTGGACATGGTAAAGCAAGCCAGAGACCAACTGGAGAGCAACGAAACACAAGTAATTTCGTGTGACCATTTTTTAGTCATTTTCACATTTCATGCTTTATAGGAACTGATCAAAGAGGTGTTTGAAGGGTCATGTGCTCTTTTACACTTCAAAACAATCGTCAAAGAATGTGACAGAATCGTAGACGAATTTACTCCTGAATTAATCGAAACTCTAGCCTCAGAAATGGATCCTCAAGTTGTTTGCTCAGTTGCGGGTTTGTGCAACAGCGAACGGGTCCATAAGCTGATAGAAGAAGAAAAAGCCGCTACAAATCAAAACGCGAAGACAGTGGGAACTTGTAATGGTTGTCACACTGTTGTTGGATTATTGGAAAATAAATTTGATAAGATGTCTAGGGATGAATTCTTGCAGGGTTTACTACAGGTAATATTTTTAACTGTAAGTACTTCGGTGTTATGTATTAAATTTAATAGGCGTGCAGAAACACTGGAAGTCTTTCTGATGGTTGCAGTAACATTATTATCACATACTTCAATGAGATTTACAACCACATGAAAGACAATTTTAATCCCAACGATTTCTGTCTGATGACCGGGGAATGTAGTGCTAAATTCCATACTCACACCAACGTGGAAATAACTCCGATTTCTCATATTGGTTACGTTCCAGTGGAGTACGTTTATCGTTTTTAAATGGTAATCTAAATTCTAATTACACGTTTTACAGAGGACAACAAGATGATTTACCGTGCGAGCTTTGCGAACAATTGGTTACTCATTTAAGAGACCTGTTAGTGGCAAACACTACAGAAGACGAATTCAAATTAGTCCTTGAAGGACTTTGTAAACAAACAAAATCTTTCAAAGATCAATGTCTTAGCTTAGTAGATGAATACTACACCGTTGTTTACAATTTCTTGGTTTCTGAACTGGATTCGAACGTTATTTGTACCATGATCGGTATCTGTCCACAAAATAACACCGAGAAGGTACCTCATTTTTCTTTCTTGGCATGATTTTGACTTAATTTTTTTAAGCTGCCTCCAATAATACCTCTTTTGCCTGTCCAGACTGCAGAAACTTTAGAAATCACTCCCGCTCCTGTCATTCGTATCAATATGGCCAAAGAAGAATCAAATGTCAAAGTCATGCAGAGCCCAGAACAAGCTCAACTGCCAATTGAACGTTTAATGCCACCACATACTCAAGAATTATACAATTCTCAGACCTGTGTATTCTGTGAATACTTCTTACATTATGTGCAACAATTCATGACTAGGCCTTCTACGGAGGTGCGTTCTACGTGATTTTGTTTTTGATCATGCTATACCTAATCCAATTTTAGGAAGAAATCAAGGAAGTGATTGAGAAAGCTTGCAGTAAACTACCTCGCAGCATTAACGAAACATGCGTACAATTCGTAGATGCGTATGAACCAGCACTAGTAGCAATTTTGGCACAGGAAATTGATCCTTCTCAAATTTGTCCTTTGATCAAAGCTTGCCCCTCGTCCAAAACTCAAGACGTAGAAGTTTTTATGCAACAAGAAAGCGACGGTTCCAAGTGTCCGTTGTGTCTGTTTGCAGTTTCAAAACTGGAAGAAATGGTGAAAGACAAAAAAACAGAGGTAAGAGGAATAATAGCGTTATTTGTAGAGGGTGCGACGAAAAAGATTGTTCCGAAAGAGACGACGTTTGAGAAACTAACAAAATTTAATGTACATATATATTTTTTAATAAAATCTAAAACCATGATTCTAGTCCACATATAACATGTTCTTAAGAGAGGTTTTCGTGTGTTTCAATAATTCTCTGCACGGTTGTGTTTATCCTACTTAAGTATGTACAACCCGTTGAAATTGTTGTTTTTGTGTAGGAAAGCATCAGGAACGCTCTTAACAAGCTATGTAATCACTTACCAACGGACCTCGCAGCTGAATGTAATGACTTTGTCAACACTTATACCAACGAGCTTGTAGAGTTACTTATTGCTGATCTAACTCCTCAAGAAGTTTGTGTTTATCTTAAACTATGCTCTGACAACAAACCACCAAGTGGTATTATTACCGGCGACACAAGTATGTTTTCGTTTAAAGTAAAAACAGAAATGATATAAATTGATTTTAGTGACAAATTTAATCACAGATGACACTGTCAACGGCATAAGTGTCCATGCTCCCATCACCGACAACCCAGAGTGTGTTCTTTGTGAATTCGTCATGAAGGAAATTCAAGACCAATTGAAAGATAACAATACAGAAGTCAGTATTTTACCGAGTCGGTTGTAGTTTCTTACTATACTCGTTTTAGGAAGCCATTAAGAGAGCTGTTCATAATATCTGCAGCGTAATGCCAAAGTCTATTGGCAAGGAGTGTAATCAATTTGTAGATGAATATGCAGACACCATTATCCAGCTATTGATTGAAGCAACCGTTCCTAGTGAGATATGTCGCATGATGCATATGTGCAGCGGCGAAGAACTAAAAAAAGCTAAAGGTTTATTATACAAAAACATCCTTAATCGCAGTATTATTAACAGGACATTATTTTAGTTGAAATTTTTGAATGCGCAATTTGCGAGAGTCTCGTCTATGCGGTCGAAAAAATTTTGAGCAATCCAAAAGTCGATCACAACGTTGAGCACGTGTTGAAAAAGGCGTGTCGTGCGTTACCTCACAAAGAACAAAAGAAGGTAAATCTGGATAAAATTAAGTAAATAAAACTAAATAAGACTTTCAGTGCAATGAAATTATCACCAAATATGGAAAAATGATCTACAATTTAGTCATACATTTGGCGGATAAGGGTTTGGTTTGTAGAGAAATTGGATTGTGTGCCAGTGATGTAGCTCGACCGAAAAGGAGCGCAGCTGTCGGATCGAAAAAATGTACGTGGGGTCCGAGCTACTGGTGTGCCAGTGATGAAAATGCAGACGCATGTGGAGCAGGGGTATATTCTAGTTTTTTTCTGTTTGAATAATATATTTACAAGTTTCATTTAGGCAAAGAAACACTGTCAAGAAAAAGTTTGGAAGGCGCAATCACGTCCAACCCCTGAAGGATCTCGGCGTAAAAGAAATTCCGTGCCCGGATCGAAGAAATGTACGTGGGGCCCGAGCTACTGGTGCGCCAGTAATGAAAATGCAGAAGGCTGTGGAGCAGGGGTATGTTTTAGGTCTTTTGGTTTTGTACATGTTAACAGTTCCACTTAGGCAAAGAAACACTGTCAAGAAAAAGTTTGGAAAGCAGAGTCACTTCCCACCTCTGAAGGATCTCGGCGCAAGAGGAGTACTTTGGTCGGATCGAAGAAATGTACGTGGGGTCCTAGCTACTGGTGTGCCAGTAATGAAAATGCTGAAGCTTGTGGAGCAGGGGTCTGTTCTATGTTTTTTCCTGTTTTTGTGTATATTAACAGTTTCATTTAGGCAAAGAAACACTGTCAAGAAAAAGTCTGGAAAGGGGAGACACGTCCAACCCCTGAAGGCTCTCGCCGTAAAAGGAGTAATTTAGTTGGATCAAAGAAATGTACGTGGGGTCCTAGCTACTGGTGTGCCAGTAATGAAAATGCTGAAGCTTGTGGAGCAGGGGTATGTTCTGTTTTTTCTGTTTTAGTATATATTAACAATTCCATTTAGGCAAAGAAACACTGTCAAGAAAAAGTCTGGCTGGCGGAGAGCCGTCCAACCCCTGAAGGATCTCGGCGTAAAAGGAGTAATTTGGTCGGAGGGGAGAAATGTACGTGGGGTCCTAGCTACTGGTGTGCCAGTAATGAAAATGCAGAAAAATGTGGAGCAGGGGTATGTTTTACGTTTGTTTTTTTGTGTGTATTAACAGTTTCATTTAGGCAAAGCAACACTGTCAAGAAAAAGTTTGGAAGGCGCAATCACGTCCAAGCGTGAGTACTCATTTTGTGTTTTTTATGTTTGTGTTTGAATACAGGTGATTCAAAAATGGCGTCTGAGAAAAATAAAAAAAATCTTACATCAATTTAACGTTTACTTATATTAGAAGCAAGTATCGATTTAGAAAAAAAGTCACAGATAAAACTTAACGACAAAGAAACGTCATTTGCGTCAAAATTTTCACAAGATTTGATTACTTTCTTTTACTCAATAGACAACCATAAGAACGTGTTGGAGTTGGTGCATCATTTTTTAATCAGCCTGTATATAAACACAAAAAATAAAACTATTACACAATGAACAAAGATAATTAACGTCTACATCTTATTTTCAGTCATAAGAAGGTGGCTAACGTCCTCAACAATTTAGTTATTAAAGACAATTTAATGTAGTTACTAAGAATACATTACATAATTATTCACCAAAGTTTGTTAATTTGTTAATAAAATTGAACTTAAATGTTTTAAACAACGTGAACACTTAAGTTGAGAGTTGGTAGTCACAGTTGGATTGTAGATTTTTTACTTACGCTAAATTGGTTTCTGATCGCCATAATGTGAAAGGAAAACTGTGATACGAATTAATTGTACTGATAATTTCTGTATTTAGTTTAACAATAAATCATGATTTTTGAACGAGTATTTATTATGTGGGAGCCATTGCATATGTATAGGGTACAGTTGGTTGAAATGGGTTGTTCATTAGAAGCCACTCTGCTAAGAATATTATAGGATCTACAGGCTTTCTTCGTACTAGGGTGGTTAAAGCGTTCAGCAGCGTCGGATTTACATACAAATTGCAATAGTCTTCTACTTTAAACTGATCTTGTATTATCGGTTCCAAGATACCTGCAAAAATGGGTTATAATCAACGCAAAAAAGCAAACTAATCAATATTAAATTGTTTTAACGTGGGTATAAAATATGTAGTACTTTATTATTAAACTTATAGCGTATAAAATATAAGTAATACTAATTTTAAGAATATTTATACCAAATCGTTGGAGACGAGAGGAGGTATTGTGGTACTGATATGATACCAAAAGGCATTTAAAAAAGTTGGCAAGTATAAAAGTTGCTGTCAAGACACGCCGTAAACCTAATTGGAATCACGTGTATTCGCCAAACTCAGGCAGACCTACTATTGACAATACAAACGGAGTTTTGTTTATCAGCTAGTCGTACTTATCATTGGTTCAATCATCAGAAAATGTCATCACTTTTACGTTTTGTGAAATAGAATAATTGATAAGATCCACAGTTATAGAATCAAACTTATGCAAAAATAAAGTTCGTGCCAATTAATCAAAGGAATTCAAATTATTGAATTATTAAAAGTATTGAAACAGGTATGCTTCAAGTTTGTTAATACCAAAGTTACAAAAAAATACAAATTACAGTCTCGAAAAAATTTAGGCTTGTTTTCGTGCTGTGATTCAAAACAGTAAGAAGGAGTGAAACAGATATACCACAAATTGGTTTTGAGCTCTACTATATAAGTGACTTTATTAACAGTTATATCTATGAAAGTCTCGTTTTGTACTGTTTTTGTCATGAACACTTTTTTTTATTAATAAATCGGGGATGGCTGTCCCTAAATATTTCACCAACATTTGACCGTCGTAAGACAACGATTTCTTATTAAATATTCAACTGAATTCATTATTTTCATTTAAAATCGAGCAAATTTCGCTCGCGCATAATGAAAATTAACTGCCCATTCACAATGGACATAAGGCATAACAAGTACATAAAGCTTACATAAATACATAAAGTTGAAACGATGGAAAACGTGTACCCCTGTTCACAGTGGACGAACGTAATTCTTATGCTTATGAACGTTTTATGTAATCCTTGTGTGCGTACACAAAGTTGAAACAAGTTCAACTTTGTGCACGAATTATGTCAAAATTATGTTAAAATCTAGGGACTTTTGAATGCTGCTATTGAATTCCCTTTGACAGTTGGCACTTGGCACTTCACACCTTTGATTATATGTATTATATAAATTATAATCAAAGCTTCACACTGCGAGTCTGTTCTGTACTGCGAGTTGTCAAGTTCGAATATCGTATGAAATTGTAGGTTAGATATTTTGATTGACTCAGTTTGAGGTTAGCCGTTTCTATGTTTAGCCAGGAGTTATTCCGTTCTGCGTTTGCGCAGTTTAACAATTCTTACAGAGTTCACTCTGTCCACTGTGAACGTAGATAAGCATAAGCCAGACACAGACCAAAAACGTAAATTATGTTATGCGCTCGTTCTTATGTCTTATGTCCATTGTACATGGGCAGTAACTGCCCATTCACAATGGACATAAGCCATAACAAGTACATAAAGCTTACATAAATACGTAAAGTTGAAACGATGGAAAACGTGTACCCCTGTTCACAGTGGACGAACGTAATTCTTATGCTTATGAACGTTTTATGTAATCCTTGTGTGCGTACACAAAGTTGAAATAAGTTCAACTTTGTGCACGAATTATGTCAAAATTATGTTAAAATCTAGGGACTTTTGAATGCTGCTATTGAATTCCCTTTGACAGTTGGTACTTGGCACTTCACACCTTTGATTATATTATATAAATTATAATCAAAGCTTCACACTGCGAGTCTGTTCTGTACTGCGAGTTGTTAAGTTCGAATATCGTATGAAATTGTAGGTTAGATATTTTTTTTTACTCAGTTTGAGGTTAGCCGTTTCTATGTTTGGCCGGGAGTTATTCCGTTCTGCGTTTGCGCAGTTTAACAATTCTTACAGAGTTCACTCTGTCCACTGTGAACGTAGATAAGCATAAGCCAGACACAGACCAAAAACGTAAATTATGTTATGCGCTTGTTCTTATGTCTTATGTCCATTGTGAATGGGCAGTAAGTCCCACAACTCATGTGAGTTACTGGTAGTGATCATTGTTCGAGCAGGACCCGATTTGAGCTGAATGCCTCGACTAGACGCACGGTTTCCTTGGCAACGGTGTAAACAAAACGTCTAAATGAGGCATGATTTGGTCTCCACTTTTATGAACCCTTCAGCAACGTATCATGTATCCAAGACACAACATCTTTTGATGTAAGTTTTGATACATTTTATACAAACGGAGCGAGATAAAAAAAATTAGAACATCCACGGACAGTCAGCTGATAAACATAGCATAACTGTCTTGTTAAAATAATAAATCCGTATCGGTATGATCGTGCGTCAAACAAACTTGTTTGTGGAGGACGGAATGGCATTTTCAGATCAGTGGTGCCAACTAGACGTACTTATCTCACAGTCTACAGCAACTAAAAAAGTTTTCAGTTATACGAAATTAATTATTATCATTCGTAATTTTTTGTCTGCTAATTCCTTCCACCAATTTTGTTTCAAACGGTTAGTCTAGAATTTCACATACGGAGTGTTCCCACAATCAGATGGTGGGAGACTACTTTTACTTCTTAGGTTTATTATTCATTAAAGGTCTTAATTATTCTGTTAAAATTCTTTTGTGTTCACACTGTACAAACCAAAAAACCACTCTATTTATGCACTAAACTGTACATAGGTAATACCTAGGAACCTAACTAGGTATCTTGTGGTATAAATTGTTTTCTTTTTTCTTTATTCATAAAAAGTATATGAGAACAAAAGTCATTACGACCTGTGTTTAAACCTGATTACAGTTTGTTTCGCTCTGGTAGTGAGTCAAAGTGGTTGTTTTCTTTTACCGCCTATAGAGTTTTTATGGTGTTAATTTTCATTTCAAAACTTGTTGGTATTTAGACTGGCTTTAGTTTTATTGTAAAACACTACAATATCAGTGACAAAAAAAAGTGATGGTACAATTAATGTGTCATTCTGACAAGTTAGTACAAATTGATGTCTGAACAATAATACCAGGTGATGATAAATGATGATGAAAAGTGGATCTTTGCATTTTCAGTGTTCATAGATTCGGATAAGAACAAGAGGAACATCTTACTTTCATAGTCGCCTTTAAATTCTGATTTGTAAAGATATAGAGAGGAAGTTCTTAACATGTAAAATTGTTGGAATTTTCTTCGTACTGTAAAAGAATCCCAAACAGAGATTTATTCGTATTTGTAACTGTTATTTTTGACGAATTTTGGAGATGAGGCAAGGAAACAGTCACTTGAGTTCACCACTCAGTCAAATTATTATTAATACTATAAACAACACCTTTTGTTCTGAATTCTTCATATGACCTGACCTGACACTTAAACTTAATATAATTTTGTTTCAAAATATTTTTAATCGGAACATTGATTAAACATAGCCGACGACCAAATATTTTTATATCAGAAGTGTTGCAACTAAAATTTACCTTCAATTGTACAAACTGAGAACAACTAAGTATGTTAAAAAATGATCTAACTTTATTATATGCAGTTATATATACTTACATATTTAAATAATTATGTACATTATTATTAGACTGTCTTTACATTTTTCTTAGAGCCCTATAAGTTTGCAAAAAAATAAAAGTTGCACAAAGAAATTTGAAAATATTTCCTAGAAAAGACAAAACTGACTGCCATGAAATCTTTCCAACTCTTTAAAGTTGTTGTGAACATGGTAAATTGCAGTGGCGGCTCGTGCCCTCTTGAAATGGGGACACACAATTTGATTGTTGAGTTAAATATGAAGATATAAAACAGGCTGTTATTACTAATTCATAGGCGAAATTGTGTGACGGAAATAAACATAAAAATACAGCTGAATACAGCGACTAGACACACGGTTTCCATAGCAACGGTGTAAGTAAACAAAACGTCTAAATGAGGCATGATTTGGTCTCCGCTTTTATCAGCACTTTGGCAATGTATCATATCCAAGACACAACCTCTTTAGATGTAAGTTTTGTTACATTTTATACAAATGGAGCGAGATCAAAAAAATTAGTTTTGATAATTATGAATATGACACAAATGTATGTCCATTGTGTTTGTAGACGTTGTAATTTGGGGGGGGGGGGCGCACCAGCCACCCCTAGTAAATTGTTAATCAAAACTTATCTGTTTATTTCCTCCAAAACATTCATGACGTCATCAAAATTGTAAGTGATAAATCCTATCTAAAATGAACAAAATACATACTATATGTCTACTTTTACGACATCAATATTTATATTTAAGGAAAAATTAAAATTTAATAGAAAAACAAAATCTGACCCAATTCTCCTTAAATTTAACACACGCTTTGAGGTTAATTTATGAAATAATTATGCATTCGTTTCGTGTGGTTGATTAATTTACTGATATTTTTGCTTCTCGAGCTTAAGCTAATGAAGTTTGTAATAGGATACATCCAGTAAAATGCTACTTTTATGTTTTCTTGACGTTTCATATCCTTTAGCGTATCCGTTTCCATTATCTATCTGTCGTCCGTCTACGTCAGTTTTTATTGAAAAGATAATAGGCCCAATTCAGAATCAAACCCGTTAAAATTTAAAAGTTGTTAAAAAATAAACAGCCAATCAGATTTACGGATTTAACTCGTTACTATGGAAATTTGCAATTTAACACCCTTTAAATTTAACAACTTTGATTCAGAATTGCCCCTATTATCCGAAACTATCAAATCGATTGTTGCAGTTTTATATGAATGTTGTAGATGACAAAAAGGTATAACTAAAACTTTCTTACTCTCCTGAATAATTTTGGACCTTTTTTTTGTTTTAATATATTGGCATTCTCTTTAATATACAGGGTGTCCCAGAATTCGCGCCATTCCCGTGAATGACATGTTCCCTGTCCCGAACTGTGCCGTAATTCGCAAAAAGAATTGTCCAGGCTTTAACCGTGTGAGAACTGGAAGGCGATTAAGTTGACCAATAGAGAGGCTGCTTTTATATCCGAACGTTTCTATGTTCAAAGTTACCTATGCCAAGAACAAAAAATCGGGTAATACTAAAGTTGAATGAATTTTTTTCGAATCCCCCTCCGTCAACAAAAGGAAACAGAAGTGTGGTTATAAATTTAATCATTTTGACAATTGTTTGTCATAAACTGTCACGAAGTTCATCACTGACCTGAACAGACGCTTCTGCCCCCAAAGATGACTGATTAATGTACACAGAGACGTCAAGGTTTACTTTAAGGCAAGTAGCATGGCACAGAAGTTATTTCTGCTGCCATTCTAGTTAAATTGTGTTTAACTGGGCTGTACATGTCATAAGAGAAGCTGTTTCATTTCATCGTAGGCAAATAATACATTTATTACTATTCTACATAGAGTAGCTACCGAAGAGCAGGTATTAGAAGTCATTTTCTTAGAGCCCCGTGAATAATGTGTTGTTCTTTTTAACGAAAATTAGTACATTTTCAGAATGCATCATATGCCTGATATTAAGTTTATCGTTATTTCTAAAAAAGAGTACCACATGTCCATTCAAAGAACGTTATTAAGTGTATTTAAACATAAATATCGCTTTTGATTAATCAGTGATTATGATTTTCAATAAACAGTATCAATTTTTACTGAACAGCTTTGTTGCTGATACCTAATCTAAGCAACGAAAAAATAGACGAGACTCCACTTCTCTGGTGTATTAAGATCATAGGTATCTGCTGTGGTGTCAATCATGTGGGGGAGATACTGAAAACTGAGACTTATTCAAGAATAATATTGATGTTGCACATGATGATTTAAGACAGTTTCTTTAAAGTTGTGAGTACATACTTTCTAGAGATTGAAAAGATACGAATAAAAATTATAACAATAGTTGCAATTTTTTTTAAGAACAATACAAACAATTTATGGAGAATGTACACGCTATGCAGCCACTGCTGTGCGCGAATATACAGGTCTTTTCCCCAATCATCGGCTCCTTGACCAGCATGTGTTTCGTCGTTTGTTGCATCCAGCAAAAGAAGATGGATCTTTTCAGCCTATGCGGAAAGCCGTGCTGGGGCTCCACGGATTATACGCACAGACGGTGAAGAACAAGTGGCACAAATGATTGGATGCTCAAGATCGATCATGCATCGTATCCTTACAGAGAAAAATCTGCATCCTTACTATTGACGAAAGTGCAGCATCTGCGACGAGCCGACTGCGCGACGAGTGCATGTTGCTATATGGTTACTGCGACAAAATGAACTAAATCCTGATTTTTCACGGCACATTCTTTTCGCCGACGAATGTTGATTTTCCCGAAAAGGAATATTTAATGCGCACAATTCACTTCTGGGCAAACGAAAATCCACATTTCGCTAACGTGAGAGCATATCAAGAGCAATACTATTAATCTATGGGCTGGAATCGTTGTACTGTAACGTTATTAAACAATGTGCTCAAAATGACCACCATTAACTTCAATGCAAGTTCTAGCTCGTTGAATTATGTTGTGTTGTGTATTATGTAACATCTCAGGAGTAACTGTAGCGTAGGCTTCGTGCAGTCTCTCTTCCAGTTCTTCTAACATATCTAGGGGTTCTCTATATACGTAATTTTTAATTTGATTCCAAAAAAAAGTCCAAAGCAGAAAGGTCTAGAGATCTAGGAGGCCAGATATTAGTACTGCCACGCCCAATCCACCTATGACGATACTCTTTTCAATGTTCGTCGTACAAGTATCGAATTATGTGGAGGAGCGCCGTCGTGCTGAAACCACATATTCCGCCGTACATTCAAAGGAACGTCTTCCAACAATGCCGGAAGCTCTAGTCGTAGAAAATTAGCATATGCATCCCCATTAAGGCGATCAGGTAATCTGATAATTTTATCAGATGCATTAAAATTTTTACCACAGTAGTACCAATGATTCCAGCCCATAGATTAATAGTAAATCGCTCCTGATATGCTCTCACCCTAGTGAGATGTGGATTTTCGTGTGCCCAGAAATGCCAATTGTGTGCATTAAACATTCCTTCTCGGGAAAATGAACATTCGTCGGTGAAAAGAATGCGCCGTGTAAAATCAGGATTTAGTTCATTTTGTCGCAGTAACCATTGAGCGTCGCGGGTAGTCGGTTGGTCGCAGATGCTGCACTCTCGTGTAATGGTAAGGATGCAGTCTTCTCTCTTGAAGGATACGATGAGTGGTCGATCTTGAACATCCACTAATTTGCGCTACGTAGAGGACACTTCTCCTAGGATCCGCTTCCATGTTTCCTAACACTTGCTCTTCAGCACCTACACGTACATTCCGTGGAGCCCCAGCACGGCCTTTCCGACTAGGTTGAAAAGATCTTCTCTTGCTCGATGTAACAATCGGTGAAACACATGTTGGTCTGGGTGCCGACGATTATTCACGGGGCTCTAAGAAAATGACTTCTAATACCTGCTCTTCGGTAGCTACTCTATGTAGAATAGTAATAAATGTATTATTTGCCTACGATGAAATGAAACAGCTTCTCTTATGACATGTACAGCCCAGTTAAACACAATTTAACTAGAATGGCAGCAGAAATAACTTCTGTCCCATGCTACTTGCCTTAAAGTAAACCTTGACGTCTCTGTGTACATTAATCAGTCATCTTTAGCGCAGAAGCGTCTCTTCAGGTCAGTGATAAACTTCGTGACAGTTTATGACAAACAATTGTCAAAATGATTAAATTTATAACCACACTTCTGTTTCCTTTTGTTGACGGAGGGGGATTCGGAAAAAATTCATTCAACTTTAGTATTACCCGATTTTTTGTTCTTGGCATAGGTAACTTTGAACATAGAAACGTTCGGATATAAAAGCAGCCTCTCTATTGGTCAATTTAATCGCCTTCCAGTTCTCACACGGTTAAAGCCTGGACAATTCTTTTTGCGAATTACGGCACAGTTCGGGACAGGGAACATGTCATTTACGGGAATGGCGCGAATTCTGGGACACCCTGTATTCTTGAACAAACTTTATTCCCTAAAAGGGACAAAATATTTTAGTACAATGCATAAAATAAAATTACAGTTATCCTATCTATTAAACAAAAAAAGTATTATGTATCGAAATTTTTACTCTAAAATTAAATAAAAATATCTTGAAACTTCCTGAAAGGTAATTAAAAGTTAAGACACGAACATTAATGATGGTGCACATTTTAAGATAATTTGTACATTTTTATCCCTCGATTTTTATATTATTAAAATAGTATCAAGTGCGCAGAAATGAAGAAGTTACAGTAACGATTAGATAATTTTAAACATCTTCCATAAAACATTACATTTCGTTATTGTTGACTATTTAATATTAAAATAATAATATTACTTCAATAAAATTATTTCCAAAAAAGTCTACATTCATTTGGAAAGTTTTTGGAAGTTATTTTATTAGGTATACACTGATCCACAAAAACCGACCACCCTGAATTATTTAAATTGTTTCTATTACTTTCTTAAATTAAATTAAAATCTGTAACAGTTGTTCTTTAATAAAATAACAGTCACTAGTTAAATTAATAATTGTCAATCTGGTTTTGGGGAATATTTTAAGTCGGCCGTTTTTTTGCCAATCAGTGTATTACAACACTGATTCAGTAATGTTATACTTACAAAAAAGTTAGAAAGTAGGAGCGGTATAAGTTTAAAATGGAACATTCTGAACGTTGAATTATTCGTGTCAGAATTGAGATTTCGCACAAGTAATACGTACTGTTTGGATAAAAGTATCTGGTCTCCCTGTTTGCATCTTTAAGATTTTCCGAAGCATGTAGAGCGTCTGGAATATCTATGTGCATGCCGAATCGTTTTTTTACATTAAGTGGCAAAAACCACTCAGCTTGAAGTGTCTTGTAAGGACCCACCAACGACTTCCATTTTTCCACCGCGTTTAATCTAGCCATAGATAAGACTAAAAGAGGTCCCATGCTCACCGAAACCACCATGTTCGGAAATGAAGGACATCCATAATGTTGAGCGTAAATTTCTGCGACTTGTTCAGGTGTTAAATGTAGCGTTCTTTGCTGAAATTAGGACGATTACTTTATTAACAGGTTTAAATTAATTGTTTCACACTTGGATTATCATCGGTGCAATCACTAAAATTGTTTTTCACTTTTTAAAATTAATTGCTATTGAGTAAGAAACATCGACGGTTAAATAAAAAGATTAAAAGGACGATTAAATTTGTAAAGCGTTTCTTTTTAGTGATTGGTGTCAGCTTCATATTGTAATTAGTTGTTACCAAGTGTATACAGCGATTCGTCGGATCTACTTTCACACTATTTTTTATGCATTAATGAACGTATAAAGCAGATGTAATTACGTGTCATTAACAAGGCGATCAAAAGATTAACAATAATTGTGAAAGTGATGATAAATTAGGTACTGATAGGAGTCTTAACACTCCGGAATGTGGAGATGCGAACGCTTTGTACAATTTCAACATTTATGCTGAATATTATTAAAATATTTGAAAGTCTGACACCATTTTTTATACACTTACGGCAACCACGGTAAACCCGTTATCAAGAACTGTCTTTAGCACAACATCTTTATAAATCATTGCTTCTGGTTTAATGATAGCTATAGTTCTTTGATACTTTTCTTCTTCGCAGGAAATTGTTGACGGGCTAGATATTGTAGGTAAGGCAAATCCTAAAATTGGCGCAAAATGGCCATAGTCGAAGTCCCCTTCGCATAGTGTTCTTGCTGTTGTTGCAGGCGACAAGTAATGAATTGTGTCTCCTGGCCATTGGTCATCGGTTGTTACACTTTGATCCTTGAATTAAATTATTTATTTAAATTATTCTGGCGCATCCACCAAAATTTATGCGACACTTCGTTGGTCATTGTTACAAGTACGCAAATACTTACAATAGGAGGGACTCTTGAACTCGTATCAGTTGTGGTGGGACTCCCTATAGTGCTTAATTTTTGACGATTATCCATTTTTTCAATAGTCTTTTAATGGATGTCAAAGTCAAATAATTTTGAGATTATTTTTCATCTAGTTGTCATAGAGTGTGTAATCATGATATTTTTTTTTTTTTTTAGTTGGGGATAGTGTAAGCACATGTGTACAAAAAATGGTGCAGTAACTCTAGAACACGTTACTGTTTATTGTTGTGTACATATATGATTTTATAAAAAAAAAAACAGAACAAATAACAGCAATATGAACTTCTTATTCCCATTGCTTTTCATTCATTTATGAGAACCTTAATCTGATTTTCTCTTTTTGAATAAAATAGTACATAAAATCGATCTGAAAAATAAATTTGGAAATATTATGGAATTATATCGTTTTCTTCATTTTATAATATCATAAAAAAATTGTTTACAATGAATCTGACCTCAGGGGTTAATTTTTCACCCTTTGTAAGATATTTATCTAAATGGATATTTTATTTTTGTAAGTGGAGGTCAAATTGACGCATAAAAAATGATTTTCCTAAAACTTCGACTTATGAACTTCATAATGTGTGGTTGAGTTAGTGCGACATTTTTGATATGTAAGAGAAAAAAAAAAAAAGACAAACGGCAGGTAGAAGTTGTATAGAAATGCCAATTTTTATATAATTAATGGTTACATTAATAAGAGACACCATATTTTTGTTCTGAATTTTAAATAATTCTAGTATTCCTAGACAGGTAACAAAACATATATATAGACATATGTTGAAAAGGACTATAACTTTTTTAACGTGAAATTTTAACTTACTATAAAAATATGTATATCTGAACTTGATTCTACGGAAATGACGATTAAAACAGTCAGAATAGTATTTTTGTTTAGATAACGTTAAAATAATCATTGTCATTTTATATAAAAAAACTATAAATTGTATCTTTTATTCAAAAGTTTCTCACAGCAAATAATAAATGGCCTGGTTCAAGGACGAGACAACGGTGCATCTCCTAAGAAAAGCATGGAGTGTTATAGATGTGGAGGCCAGGGATATTTCAAACGCAATTGTTGTGCTCACCAGCTCCAAGGAGAAGCACACAACACAGATTTCCTCAACGAAATGTGCAGGAAAACTAAAAACAGCTAGCACTTTGGGGGATATGATGGCTGGTAAGAATAAGGCCCCCAGCGAAGTGGCGATCGATACTGGAGCTGAAGTCTCAATCTTACGTAGAGGACTCTTGAGAGCTAAAGATCTAAGGAGTATATCCGAAACAATCAGATTAAAGACCGTGACTGGAGAGTCGACGCCAATCATGGGTGAAGCAGAGGTAGAAATCTGCGTTGGTCAGCTGAAGATAAAACATTGGGGTTTCGTGGCCAACATTGAAGACGACTTTATTTTGGGATTGGATTCGATTAGCTGTTATGGATTGACGGTCGATCCAATGGAGAAAGTCCTACGTCTTGGCAATGAAGAGTTTATCCCGAATCAGCGCAGTATTGAATCCAAGCCTGTAAGACTGATCGCGTGCTAGAATGTGAAACTTAGAGGGAATACAGAAACGATTGTTCCAGTCAGAGCAGAAGTCAAACCCGGATTTTCCCTCGGGATTATTTAACTAGAAGAACCTCATGATTGCGAGTGCTTTAATTAACACGGATTGTGACATACCTGCCGTCTGTGAACCAGTCACGAAGATCTTCATCATAACGAAGATCTTTCTGGTAACAGTGATGAAGGAATACAAAGAAATTTAGAAATTACTGCCCTAAATCTTGATCATCTAACCGAAGATTAGCGGAAAGTAGCAAGAGAGTTTCTACAGAAACACAATGAAATGTTTGCATCTGGACAGTCCTATGAGTGCATAAACATAGTGCAACATCGAAAACTATTTTGGTGAAACAAGAGGAGGCCGAGGAACTGGTACGAAAAATGTTGGACGGAGGCGTTACAGAGGAGTCAAACAGTCCATGGTCTTCGCCTATAGTGCTAGTCACCAAAAAAGACGGGTCGATGCTATTCTGCGTAAACTACAGGTAACTAAACGACATAACCAAGGACAGTTACCCGTTTCCACGAATTGATGCCATGCTCACAACATTATCAGGATCCACCTGGTTCTCCATGTTGGACCTCAAAAACTGCTATTAGCAAGTTGGTATTGAGCCACAAGATAAGGAAATGACCGCTTTTCTGCCGGGAGTGGCTTGTATCAATTTACCGTAATGCCTTTAGCACTGTGTAATGCTCCGGCTACTTTTGAGAGACTAATGGAGATGGTATTACAAGGGCTAACATGGAAAACATGTTTGGTTTCTTTAGACGACATCATGGTAATGGGAAAAACATTTGAGGAGCACTTGACCAACCTGGAAGAAGTATTTAGTCGAATGAAGGAGGCAAACTTGAAGCTGAATCCGCAGAAATGCCTCCTCTTCTAAAAAGAAGTAGAATTTTTGGGGCATACTGTTTCGGCAAACGGGATAAAGATTACCGGAACGAAAATCAGGACAATTCGCGATTGGTCAAGACCAAAAGATAAGCACAAATTCCGAAGTTTCTTGGGATTATACATGTACTACAGAAGATTTATCAACGGGTTTGTTGATATTGCTGCTCCTCTGCACAAGCTGACGGACTTGAAGTCTCAGTTTATTAGCCTTCAAAAGATTGAAGAATGCACTATGCTCTATTTCTCTTCTGTCCTATCCGCAATCATTGAGAATGTTCATCTTGGACACAGACGCGAGCAACATCGGAATAGGTGCCGTATTGTCACAGATGCAGGACAAAGAAGAAAAAGTCATCGAGTACTTCAGCAGCGTACTTTCGAAACCCGAGAAGAACTACTGTGCCACTAGGAACGAGTTGTTGGCGATTGTGAGAGCTGTTGAACACTTCCATAAATATCTCTACGAACGCGAATTTCTGATTAGAACCGATCAAACACGTTACGACCTTAAGGATAACTAAGTCGCATTCAAAGGCAGGGAATTTGGTATGGGCTTATAATCCCTGAAGAAGGAAATGTCGTTACCCGAAGTTGTCGCCAGACTGGGAAGGTCCATATACATACTATCGTGACGAGAATCAACGATGTCGTTTACAGAATTCGACGAGGGTCGAAGACGAAAATGAAGAACGATCAGAATTAAGGAGAGGGCAGTGTAACGAAAAAACCCATACGTCGCCCCGATACGACGCCTATGAGTTTTCTAGTGTGTGCGTCGATGATGGGTGACGGCGGCCGAGCGGCGTTCGCTGAAAAAAAGCTTGGAAGCGGAAGTCGCAATGGGTATTCCACAAAGACCTCGATCACGAAACCTCTAGAAGGAGAGTAACCTACACTTAATTAGTCAAATTTTTGAACTTTTAGCCACACATATGTCTCAAAATAGAATGACAAATGACAGGTTTGATGTGCATTTGAATTGAATTGATTTGAATTTGACATATAATTAACTGGCCTTAACCTAAATTATGTAATAAATATAATCTCCTGAAAATTATGACTCCATTGATGATTCTTTTCACTAAGTTTTGTCAAAGACTTTATAATATGATAAAACTCCAATCAAAGTTTGCTTTCTCATCCTTTTCCAAAAATATGTATGTAACGTTATCTCAAAATAGTGTTCCGTATAACTTACCCACAAGTTGTTTTTTCCTATGATTTAACAATTTTATTTTAAAATTTACGTATGTCTTTAAAAAAATTCTTCAAATATCCTTTTGTTTGTTAAAACTGTTTGCAAAGAATTACTGGAAAACAAACCGTTGGAACAAATTTATTTTATCGATTGTCTGCAAAATTATTACCATAATTACTTTCAAACTGAAAAAAACAGCATCGTCATGGCAGGGTTTAGATATAAAATCAATACATTATTTTTTTTTTAATGGATGGCATCATCTTATCTTCATGATATGTCATATGTTTCACAAGTCGTTCTTATATATTTTTCCACGGAATATTGGCCACTCTGACTTTAAAGCAATAACTACAGCTGTCAATTTTAATAAAATTAGTATAATATGCAGTCAAATATGTACGTATATCATTTCTTTTGTATGTGTATAAATTATATACTAGGGTTTATATAAGACTTTTACTAAGTATACAAATAATCTCGGAAACTACCACTCAACTTGTAAAATTTTAAAGTGATAACCAAAATTGTTGCTTCTATACCTGTGGTTTATTATATATACAGGGTGCCGCATCCAAGTCTGGATATAGGGAATTAACATGCGATTTGGTTTTTATTTTATAATATCTCCCCAGATCACTTTAAAGCTATTATTGAGTGATGCCTTTATGGAGGTCGAAGAGGACTATCGGCCAGTATTTTTTTCAAATCGTTGCATCGCGGTCACTCACTGTAAAAAGGTTTTAAAAATCGTATTTTGAAATTCGCGCCCAATCCGATTTGCCGCGAAATGTTCCGTCGCACTGTCGAAGTTCGGCGATCACGTATTTGGAATAGCCATACAAAATCCAAATGTCAAAATGAAATTAGAAATTTTTCTCAGAAATCAACGAACAACTCAAACTGGATTATTTTATCCAGTGTGATGATTATTGTAGGACAAATTAAACGGAATAAATGCACAAATTGATCCATTCATTCGTCATAGTGCGCGACCCCGTTAAACGAGCCATCTCGGAACTACACTCAGACCGTATCCAAAAAGCCCGAGATGAAGACTTCGAGCAGCTGGTCTTCCTGAAAACCCCATCGGCAGCATTTTGACATGTACCGGGAGCCCTCAAGCTAGGAATGTACTCGCGCTGCCTCACTCAGTTAATCACTGAACGACTCAAATTGAATTATTTTATCCAATATGACGATTATTGTAGGTCCATTTAAACGGAATAGATGCACAAACTGCACAAAATATTTTATTAGGTTATGCTGCTGGTGCTGGTTGAGTCTTTATTACTAAAATCTCATTAAAATGCCATGTTCTACTGTGATTAGATGAAAATGCGAGGGCCCGCTTTTCTTATTGTGTGATGATAAGATTTACCATCAAAACAGCTGGCGCTTTTGAAGAGAACCTTTTAATGA